TATATGAGCTATAGTCTAAACTCCTTAAAGGGGTTATATAGGGGATTATATAGGGGACTACCTTAGGGGATATTAAGGGGGATACTAGGAGTTTAGACTATGGCTCATATAGGGGTCTATAGGGGCTATATAGATTTCACGACTCTGGCCTCCTGTCTCACTAGCTTGGCCCCATCCTAAACCCCTGCCTTACACCCCAACCAAAAATCCCTCAACCCTGAACTAACCCTAAACCCATCTGATGCAGAAGATCCATAAAAGGCCGCAGCGGATGAGACCAAGAAGGCCTACTGCGATGAGGAGAAGGCAAAGACCAAGGCCAGACAGAACAGCTCAAGATGCTTTCATGGGGTTTAGGGCTTAGGGTTTAAGGTTTAGGGTTTAGGGGTTAGGGTCTAGGGTTTAGGGTTTTAGGTCTCAGGAACTCAAATTGAGTTACCATATCATATCATGGATACATAGTAAGTAATAGGGTTTCCTTGTAATAGTAACTTTACGAAGTTCCTTAACAGCAACCCAAGCTTTCTCAGGGTTAACGGGTTTAGGGATAGGGTTTTAGGGATTTAGAGGTTTAGCGTACGTCTAGGGATTTAGGGGTTCACGGTTTTGGCATTCGGTGTTTTTCTAGGGATACAGGTGAGGGATTTAGGATTTTTTGTTGTGGTTTGGGGTGGAGAACAACATGCTTTTAGCTACTTGGTAGTTCTCAACAGGGCGGCCCTGAGAAACTCCAGCACATGTAGGAATTACAAGCGGTTTTCGGGAAGCTCCCAAACTCACTCGGGCTTCATGAGCAGGAGTAGCAGATGGTGGAGATTGTAAGGAATGTTGAGAACAGTCTGGAGTTATAGAAGGTCTTTGTTCTCGGCTTCTAGCCTATGCGAGTCTATAGTTGGCACCTCGAGTTACTTGATGTTGAATCCTCTGTCACATCTACGCATAGAAGGATGCTAGGACTACTGGATGGCAGTTGGGAAACTTAAGCAAACTTACAATAATATGGATATCTCGCAATATGATGGGGCTTCTTCGCCATAGGAACGTTTTTACAGTTCCTTAAAAGCAACCCAGACTGACATCATGTCTTGAAGCCACACCTCACGTCATATCCTGCTTGCTGGATGCCGCCGCGGCTTGGTTGGCTTCAAGAACAACATGTCATGCGCATTCGTCAGTTCCCGCAACAATCGAGTCAATGTAGTCATTTATACTGTACCGTATTGCGCTTAGTACCTTGTAGACTAGCAGGTAAGTACTTTTGTGATGCAGCTGCTCTACCACTCATTCTGGCTCTCGAAGCCTGAGGCGGAGCAACTGCTCGACAAATTTCCGCTCGATGGCAGTGACTGGAGTGCTGCGCATCCCGGCGGTAGGGCTGACGAAGGAGGTGCAAGAAGAGTGCAGCAATGGGGGTTCGCCTTCGACTATGCACTGTATGAGGTGGCCAAAGAGACGCCAGGCGTCGTGCCGCTGACACGTCGAGATGCCCTTCCGAACTGGTTGCAGGAGATTGGCAACCGAGCTTTTGAGGCCTTGGGCTTTGTGGGCCATCCTAGCCAGGTCATCGTCAACGAGTACTTGGACGGTCAGGGCATCGGCGAGCATGCCGACCACCCATGCTTCGGGCCAGATATTGCTATCGTGTCGCTGGGTGACCCCATGGTCATGAGTTTTTCCAGACGGCAGGACAGCAGCGACGGCCCGCAGCCTTCAGAGGGACTGGAAGACTTCAGCGTTCCCCTGGTACACGGGTCTTTGCTGGGCATATCCGACGATCTGCGCTGGAACTGGTTGCACAGCATTGCCCCCAAGCAGCGTTTGCAACGCAGAGTCTCGCTGACCTACAGAACCATCCAGGACACAGCTTTGCAAGCGCTTCAAGAGTCTCCGGCTTGACTGCAAGTCTCCGCCGGCGCACCTGATTCAGCAAGGGGAGCTGCGCATGCGCCACGCGGACAAGGGGAAGCTTGCTGCAGCAAGCAGCGCTGTGCGTGTGAAAGAGAGGTTTCAGGTGCTCATGTGCATGACAGCGGGTATGGGGTCGGGCCCTGGAGAAATCGAGAAGTACCCACTTCGGGTCCTAGTGAAATCATATGGTCATGTCTCTGACAAGCCCTTTGCTCAGAATGCTACACTGCCCTTGCATGAGAACCCCAGACCCTAGACCCTCAACAGCCCAAGAAGGAAGAGGCATTCAGAAATTTCCCCTCGAGATTGTGCCAAGGAAGCGCTTTTTTGCCGCCTGTCCCTCAAATTTAGAATTCTAAACCATCAGAACCATCAACCCATTTCATCCTTATGACAGGAGAAGGTTGATGACCTGACCAGCACCCAGGACAAGCTGTCTGCCAAGGCTCCTTTTGTCAAAGACTCGCATGGGGATCTTATAGGGATATTACCCCGATAATGAAAAGAAAATGGAAAGATAAATGGAAATTTGGATTATGTAGGAACTTACAGGGATCCGGTGTTTCCCAAATTTAGGTGTACCTTTTGGGGGGTCCCCAAAAAAAAGGAGTATGGTATGTGGTGGTGTTTGTTTGGGTGTTCTTGTTTATTGTACTTGTTGTGGGCGTGTGATGCTCGCTGTCATAACCAGTGCTACTATGACTCGTGGATCAGACCTGCTGTGCTGTTGCCCTAAACCCTAACTCCCCAAATTTAAATCCCTAAATCCCCAAACCCTAAATCCCTAAACCCTAAATCCCTAAACCCTACCAGGGGTGGAACAGCTCTGACAGGTGGACAAGAAGACATCGGAGTCCGAGACCCTCAAAAGCTCCAAGCCCAGAACGACTCGGGATCAGGATTAAGGTTCATGGGTTTATGGGTTTAGGGATTTAGGGTTTAGGGTTTAGGGATTTGGGGATTTAGGGTTTAGGGTTTAGGTTCATGGGTTTATGGGTTTAGGGATTTAGGGTTTAGGGTTCAGGGATTTAGGGTAGGGTTTAGGGTTTAGGTTTATGGGTTTAGGGATTTAGGGTTTGGGGTTTAGGGTTTAGGGTATGGGGGATAAATGGAAAAGAAAATGGAAACTACTGCTTAGGGATTAGGGTTTATAGGTTCAGGGTATGGAGGATATATACAGGGTTGATATAGGAATGATGGAAAAGAAAATGGAAAGTACTGTTTAGGGAATAGGGTTAAAGGTGTATGGGTTTAGGGTTTAAGGTTTGTGGGTTTAGGTTCTCGGGGTTAGGAGTTTATGGGTTTAGGGTTAGGGGTGTAGGGCTTAGGGTTTATGGGTTTAGGGCTTGGGGGTTTAGGGTTTAGGGGTTTAAGCGTTTTGGGTTTATGGGCTTTAGTGTTTAGAGGCAGATCCTGAGGAACACATCCTTTCTGGAAAGCATCTGGCCAATCGCTATGGTGAAATCAGCATCCCACTACTCTCACGATGCTTATTACGGGGACCGCCAAAAAAGGAACTACATGATCCCAGTTTCCATTTCATGTTCCACTTTGTCCATTTGATTCTCACTTGTGGAGGTGAAGCAGGGAGACGTTCGGAAGCCTTTCAGCTGGCAGCCCTCACACTCCAGAACTGCTGGGGTAATTTACTGTTTGGGCTGGTGCTCACGTTGACTCCAGAGCTGCACCAAGTGTCAGCAACACTACAAGTCTGCTCAATCCGGTGTGAGAAAACCCAATATGAACAGAGTTCCGATTTCATTCGCCATGTTCTTGACCATTTCGTTTTCCGTTTTGGGAGTCACATTCCTACGTAGCTGCCTTAGACCTGTGGCGCATGTCAACCTCGGCTGCGGTTCGCGGCTCAGGATTGGCAAAACTATTCTTTGCTAACCAGTTAGGGCCATGTCAGTTATGGCCTCAGCCAAAGCCTCAAAGCTCACCCAATCCTCGCAAACGTCTCTCAGATGATCCAAAATGGGCATACTGCTGAAGATCGAACATGTAGAGTCCTCGTATTGAGTGACTACGGCATGTTATAACCCCTCAAGGCGCTATTCCAATCAAACATGCTCAGACCGTTTCAGGGCAAGAGACTTTCTGATGGAAACCCTCCCGAAATGATTTTCCAGTTTGGGACCTCGCGCGCGTGCACCCGCAAAAGCCTGAGAAAAGCTCACAACCACCAGTCGGCGGTGTGCGCGCCGCCTTAGAAGGATCGATTCCCTGATTTTTTGCGAACCAGAAGAAAGATAGAGACTGTATTGATGTATCTTTTGAACCCCATATGGTAGTTTCCCTAAATAAGGGGACCCCAATATAGACCCCAAAATACTAAAATCCTTATTACTGGGACCCTTAATAATGGTACCCCTAATTTAGGGAAACCCCCATATATGACTATAAGCCTGTAGAACTATAACCCACTGTAGGAAACCAGCGGAAAGTTGCCCAAGGCGAGGCGGCTACACTTCAGAGGGAGCTGGCGGAACTCGCCCAGCTGCAGGTGGGGCTTTGGGACCTTTGTCTGTTTAGGCGGTTAAGAGTTTAGGGTTTAGGGTTCAGGGGTTTCAGTTTGTTGGGGCTTCTAGTCTGGGGTCTGGGAGCCTTTTGAGTCACATCGTGATTGAACTTAAGCATGCATCTAGATGTCAGAGGCAGCTTGCTTCGTGTAGAAATTTGCATTTTTTCTTCATTGTTGTGCCGTTGGGTGGGCTCAGACCCTAAAGCCTAAAAGCCCTGACCCGCATTTAAGTACTGAAGGTGCAGCGGGTGGGCAATGGTGATGTGGAAGCTTCCCTTTAGTGAGAGCCACTTTGAAAATCTGTTTTGGCGGCATAGGGACTACTTGCAATGTGGGGCGATGTTCAACACATCTAGGGCTTGCCGCCACCTGTGTAAGTAGCTTCCATGAGCATGAAATCCTTAACCCGGCACCAACAGCGAGCATCCGCTGGCAGATTGAGATGGACGAGACCCGCAAGGAGGAGAGCATGGTGCTCAGTCTTTCTGTTCCAACTAGATGTCGAATACTTGAGGGTCAAAACGGGGCTGACTTTTGTTCCACATGGAGATGATACAGGTGCATTTTTGAGAATCTCGCGCAGGCAAGTCCACAGGGGGGCGCCGCTAACAGTAGCTTCGCTTCAGAAGTTTCTGACCGCCATAACAGATAACGGCTGCGCGCCGGAGTACCTCTGCCAGGAGTCAGAACATCAGCTGCACGGGTCCTGTTTCTGATGGGGGCCCCAGTAGCCGTCAACATTGTAGACAGTAGCTGCTAACATGTGAGCTTGTTCGTGTTGGGTTGAGCTGATTCCTTCTTGGATCCAACTTCGTGCTGCAAATTGCTGCAGAGCTCCAAAGTTTGAAGCTGAAGTGGGATCCTTTGGGTTTTGCCCGCAACCAGTCACAGCTTTATAGTATTCACAAAATATCCATATATATATATATGCATATACATATGTATATCCATATAAATATATATATATACGTAGATACATCCCCCTAGTAGTATCCCTATTGCAGACTGTTACTGGGTGGGGACCGTACCCGAGGGATTCTGAAAATGGCAGAAGCCCTTTCCCCCGAGGCGCAGCCTTCAAGAAGCAGAAGGAGGACTTCCCACCACCCGGGCTCCAACAATCCAAGGGGTTCTATAAGCTATTGTCCAAACTCCTTAAAGGCCGCTTAATATAGGGGAGTATATATGGGACTACTATAGGGGGTTATTAAGGGGGACATTGGGAGTTTAGATTATGGCTCAATTGAGTAGTATTTTATTTGGGGATACTATGGTACCCAATATAGAGCACGATTATATCCTCCTTTTGGGGTATAGTATTCTATATAAGGAATATTATCTTACTAGGTTCAACCACCAAAAAAACACTACTCAATTCGAGGGTCCAAAAGTTGTTGTGAAGTAGTTGAGGGAATGTGGCCTGACATTGAGATAGCTGTAGAAGCGAAGTCCTTCAACCCACCTCCTTGCATCCGGCTTTTGAATTCGAAGGCCTCGACACTACAGCCTGAAATCCACATCCTCAAATTTCTGCATGGAACCTGCCGTGCGTTTATGAGAAGACTTTTGGCTAAAAGTCCTGTCTGAAATTCCTGAGGCTTTCACTTAGGGGTACTTGGAAATATTTTTTGCTTATTATAATCCCAAGGAATAGCAAAAATCACAATTTTTTACTATGGTTCCAAGTTCACCATAGTTCAAGAGGCACGTAGAGTTCCGGACAGTGCAGGTTGTTGAAAGGTTTAGGGTTCAGGGTAGTGCACATCAACCAGAGCCTGTTTCTGTTGACTTGCTGAATGCCCTTGCCAATAGCTTCCCAGAGACCCCAGCGACATGGTGAGCAGGCTGTAAGCGGATAGATAGGCACATGAGCTTAACATGAGCAATATGGTCGCTTCCAACATAGGGGGGACCGCAACATAGTAGCCTCGTTATGAGTATGGGTACCCCCCTCAAAACGGAACCGCTCATTTCCGGAAATATAGTCCCCTTAAGTAGATAGAATATGGCTTTGAGTATATTATGATAGGATCCCCATATACCCCATATTCTATCTACTTAATGGGGACTATAACCCCTAAACCCTAAACCCTAAATAGTAGTTTCCATTTTCTTTTCCATTATCCCCATAGAATCCCCATATAACCCCTTTAAAGGGACCCATATTCTATCTAATTAAGGGGGACTACCCACATCCATTCGCAGCATCCATTCCCAGGACCTGGAGGCCGGATTGGAAGGCCGGGGACGCACCGCAAGTCGGACCCAAATCCATGACCGAATTTTCGTGCAGCATTCAAATGAGTAGTATTTTATTTGGGGATACTATGGTACCCAATAGGGTTTAGGGGTTTAGGGTTTAGGGTTATTTGGGGATATTATGGTACCCATTATAGAATATGATTATATCCTCCTTTTGGGGTATAGTATTCTATATGAGGAATATTATCTTACTGGGTTGCTACTCAAATGGGGGTTTCCACATAACTGAGTACCTTTTGTTGGTGGTCGCAACTAATAAGGGTTAGAGTGTTTGGGGGTCTATGTTGGAGACTTCCAATTTAGGGAAGCTACCGAATGGGTTGGAGTTCTGACAAACAGTTGTGTCATGCTGCATTGGCTGATACTTGACAAGGCGACCCCTAAACCCTAAACCGTGTTAAGACTTGCTTCCCGGAGCACCCAAAACCTCAGCCCCGCGAATTCACGGTTCAGGTTTTGCAGCAAACAGGGTTCCCCGTTGGAATAAATTCCCAAAATCAGTCCATATTCTGGAGACCCCTGAAGAGGGAGCCGTAGTTTTTGAAAGCCCCAATAAATACCCTAGTATTCTGTAGTAGTTTCCATGTTCTTTTCCATTATCCCTACATAATTCCAATTTTTTTAACTGAGAACTCTCATGTCCGTGATGCTGCGAGGTGTCCGCTCCGCCCTCACTGTGCTTCGCGACTACTACGCCGCTTTGCCTTGTTCAGTGCAACCTACGGTAGGACCATCCAGAGCTTGCATGATCTTACTTAGGGGACCTGCATACTGTAGGATCCATTAGGGGCCTGCATAATTACCAATAATATGGTTCGAGTTTGCTTGCACAATGATGGTGCGCCGGATCATAACTGTGTTCACATAGAATGTTGGGTGCTTGCCAACAGTGTTGTGGGACACTCTGCCAGGCCTCCGGCACGCGCTAGCCTCGGCAAATGCGAGCACCATTGTTGTTTTTGTTCACGAGTCCATGGGTGTTACAATTGGGGGGCTTTATCATGCATATTGGTGAGTGTATATAGGGTTCCGCTAGTATCTTGGTGAGCGTAAATATTTGGTGTCCAATGGGGGAGACCTAGAGTTGACCTAAAGACAGGTATAAGGTCTGAGGAAGTTTTAGGTGGGGAGTTTCCCGCATATAAGCCTTTATGTAAGGGTATCCACCTTGTAACTACCCACCTGAAAACTCCCGTACTTAGCGCCATGCAGCGATCTGCCTGGAGCAGCTGAAACGAGATTCCAGCAGGGAGCTATCTCGTGTTCTCTTAGGAAGTGTGAATTGCCTTGTTCAGGATCGTATTCATCACCTCCCCCTGTAATTTACCCCACCACACTCAGAATAGCAAATATTCCCCTCACTGTACGGCGATGCTAGGCCGCGGGCATCTGCCAGTATGCGTAAAACAAGAGGCCATCCTGTTATACTGGCAGGTTTCAAGAGAGGGGTCCCGCAGTCAAACAACAACATCACGGCCCTTGCTATGGAGACCCCCTAAACCCCAAACCTGTGATTCGAGGGATTGCCCAAGGAGTGCTTGGCGCATCCCTGCAAACAAAAACAAGAGGACTCCTAGAGCTCAAGCCCACCGAGTGTAGCTTAAATGAGCCATAGTCTAAACTCCTTAAAGGGGGGATATATAGGGGATTATATAGGGTTATTTAGGGGCATACTAGGAGTTTAGACAGTAGCTCAAATAGTTACTGAGATTGTGGCTCTAGCTTCCTTACATCAGAATAGTACAGAGTATCCCCAATAGACGTAGGCCCTTGCCCATGATCTTTTCCACTTGAAGGGCGATATCCCGAAGAGCCCTGTATGACGCCTATATGAATATAATTCCCATAGAACTCGTATTTAGCCCCATCATTTGGGCCTCTGTATTGCATGGTTCACCTGCACCCTAAAACCCTACAACCCTAAAACCCTAAGCCCTAAAACCCTAAAACCCCAAACCAAACCCTCGAACCCTAAACCCGAAAATCCTAAGCCCTAAACATTTATTGCACGTTTAACTGGGGCCTTTCCCAGGGCTCTGATCCAGCAGCCGGACCTGAGCTTCGCTAAGCAGGGCCCTTGGTGATTGTTTGGGAGTCATGAAGAGGTTGTATAGGGGATTATATAGGCATTCTATGGGATTATAGAGGGGTTATAGAGGGAAAATTATGGGGTTACATGGGGTAATGCAGGGGTTATACGAGATTATGTATGGATTATATGGGGAGGACGGTTGCTTTGGGAACTTCCTTGGTGGTTAGTGTGGATTTAGGGCTTCAGGATAAGCCACTATTTGCTGAGGGACCCTTAAAAATCAAGAATTGTCCCTTTATTACCCTTAGAAGGCAGACTATTTTGATTTTTTTGGTGAGTCTGGAGCAAATAGTAGTTAGAGTTTAGGGTAAAGGTTTGGAGCAGCATAGTCTGGTGGCGTGTGGGGCGGCATGAGAATGAGGCTTTCCCTGTGGGACGCTCACATAGCTTTTCAAATTAGATATTGGTTTCTCAGGCGCGCAGTACACTGCAAAATCATGTTGGAGGATGGCACCATACGGGATCTGGTCTGGCTTGTCAGGGATGAACCAAAACTCCTGAATATAGGTCTTGGAGTGCTGTACCCTGATTGTATTCTGCCTCAGGTCTGGCAGTGCCTCCACCGGCATCCTTGGCATGCTGGAGGCTGGGGGGCTTCTCGGTTTTTCTTGTAAAGCATTTCAGCTGTCGAGAATCTAGTGGAAAATCGAAGTTCAAATGAAATATGGAAACACGGCGCAGGTCAGGGCTGTCATTACCTTCGCTAGTGTTGATGACCGGTCAGGGCTCACTTATCACTACTGCATTCTTGTTGTCATGAACTTGCCTTCAACTCTAGCATTGTTATTGTGCAAACGCGAGCCGAAACCCTGAATCTCTCGCAACCCTGAACATCCTCAACCCTGAACCTCCTAAAGTCCTAAACCCTTAACCTGAAGTCCTAAACCCTAAAACAATAATATATCATCCTATTTAGGATCACAACAACCCTAAAGAGTTGGCCAGGTTGTGGAGAGCGACTTTGGCCGCAACCTGGCCCAGGCTGAGACCAGCGAGGCAACCAAGGCCAGGCACAGCGGGGTCTGGGTTTGTTCCTTTATATAGGGGCTGTATAGGGATAATGGAGAAGAAAATGGAAACTACTATAATGGCGTTATATAGGGATTATAGAGTATATATTGGAGTTATATTTGGGATAATGGAAAAGAAAATGGGAACTGCTATAGTTTTGAGGGTTTAGGGATTAGGGTTGAGGGTTTTAGGGTTGAGGAATTTGAGAGCTGGGTTTGGGGATACCTTTAAAGTTAGTTTACGGGAGGATTCGGTACTAGGGTCCAGGGGTTGGAGTTGAGGGATTAGGGTTTGGGATTGAGGGTTTGGGGTATAGGTTTATAGGGAAGGATACATAGGGGTTTTGAAGGATAGTGGCGAACAAAATGGGAAACACAATGAACATGAAATGGAAACTGGCCAGACCCTGAATCATGTAGAGAGCTCCCCATTGTTTAATGAGGGGGCTGTGGTTACCCCAACCCCAACCCTCGAAATCGCGCCCCTGCGACGATCATACAGTTCAAATAGAGCCCTTAGTATCGAGGCTGGGGAAACCCCGGCCATTTCATGTTCCATGTCCGTTTACTTTTGATTCCTCAACATTATGAAACAAAAGTCAAATCCTAGTAGGTCCTAGACCACAAAGCCTACATCATAAGCCCTGCGATTTAGAGCTTCCCCATTGTTTCTGTTGGTACTGAGGCCGAAGACTACGACTCCATGACCAAGCAGAACAAGCTTACCAAGGCAACGCTGAAGTTATTGCTGCGATTGCCCTGCAGCAGTTCCATCGCGAGTCTGCCGTTGGAGGAAATCCTGCACCACTGCAAACCCACCCTACTAGTAGGCTCTCCAATATTTCAGCACTACCTCCAGTCAAGGGTCTGATGCTACTCTCCATGGCACGATTCCTCGATCTTGTTTTGCAAGAGATGTAGCGCTTGGAGTCGTAGAGTTTGAAGTCGCCTTCGGCTTTTGGACAACAGTCATATGGGGGTTTCCCAAAATTAGGGGTACCATTTTGGGGGTCCCTATAATAAGGACTATAGTATATTAGGGTCTATATTTGGGTCCCCTTATTTTGGGAAACTACCATATTGCCTCTGGCGCCATGAGCTGTCAGCGGAACCATGCAGGCGCAGGGGTTTGAGCAGTCGTCTGCACAGAAGCTTAGGCCGGAGCTTTTCAACGTACTTCACAAACAATCCTGAGCAGTGAGCCCTTAAATACCTTACAATGCCGCCCATAAAGGGTTTACGGTTTAGCATTTATCCCTGGGGTCCAAGGGGTCCCCGATTTTGAGAAACCCCCAGGTAAATCTTGGGCCCTAAATAAAGAAAGTTGGCGGAGAGCTTGTGTCGCTCCAGTGGCAGGTGCAGAAGGACCAGGACCAGAAGTACAAGACGCCCCTTGGCTTCACGCAGTGGTGTGAGGTTCAGGGGCACCAAGCTTCTTCAAATCACGCCTACAGGATCCTCTTACTGGCTGTTCGTAGGGAACATGGGAAGATGATCCCCGTAAAATATTTTCCCTTCTTCCATACTAACCCCTCGTAAGTCCAAGTGTCTTTGTGAATTTGCCGTTCTGCGTGGAATCTGAGATGATTAGGGGCTTTCAGGGTCCTCCACCCTCATTCTTGATAAACCTAGTGCTGAGTTTTTTCTATATGCTCTGTCTACTAACAACAGGATTTTGGCTACCCCAACCACATGACAAGAAATCGATGACCAGCATACGATTACGATTCTTGCAAGGTCCGTATAAGTCCTGATCAAATGGGCTGGGGTGACTGAGATTGTCTTGTTACTTACAGACTTTTGCAGTCTTCCCGGCTTCATGCAGAAACCCTCAGACCCTAAAACCCCAAACCCTTATAGTCCCCCTTACATAGATAGAGTATGGGGTATATGGGGATCTTATTGTAACATACCCACAGCCATATTCTATCTAGATTATAATCCTAAGTCTCCACCCAGGAAGGCTGCCATGGCTCTGGACAAGGCGGCCAGGGCCACAGCCGCGCAGGAGTGTAAGATGCTTAGCCTCATGGTCATCTTACCCTAAGACGCATACTTTGGTAGTTTCCATGGATAGGGGGATCCCAATATGGACTCCAAAGATTCTAACCCCTATTATTGGGACCGCCAAATTAGAAACCCTAATTTTGAGATCTCCCCAAATATGTTGGGGGCGCAGAAGACCTCGATTGCGTTTGACCCGGATAGGAACATGCCCAGTGGTACATGAAAGGTTGTCAAAACTATTGTCCCTTTTTCAGCACCTTATATGGGGATCCCAGAAAGGGACCGTAATTTTGATAACCCCCCACATGCCTAGATGAATGCCAAGGTTGGCGACCTGTCCTCCGACGGAGAGTCCACCAAGGCACGCAAGAGGTACATGAGCTGTAGTCTAAACTGCTTAAGGGGGTTATATACATGGCTTGAGCTTCAGGGCTACGTTGGGAAAATGGTTTCAGGTTGAGGCTTCAGGGCCGGGTTTGAGTAAGGGCCCGTGTTTTCGTATCTAGGTCTCTTCAGCTGTCCAAAGCATGTCCCAAAGCATGCGTCGATGCCCGAGAATATTTGGGGTTGCATGGGGTATAGAGGGATGTTAGAACCATGTTAGATTAGATCCTATAGCCTGCTATAGTTGTAGTTATAGACAAGGCTAGTCTATACTATACCCCGAACATTCAACCGAGGGCAGCCTTCTTGCATGAGTAACAACCGTTTCTCAGTCCTTGCAGTCTTTGTTGGGTGCTGCTAGCAGTCACAGGTCTTGATGGATTTTCTCCTTTTTCCGGGCCAGAGGAAGTTTGCTTGCACAAGAGTATGTGAGGATTGTGCCAGGGTGCTTGTCAAACCACGGTAAAAGCCCCTTGGCCATGTTGCCGGCGCTGCTTCTGCCGTTTCTGCTACAAAAATCCTAAGACGTAGAGCCCCTGACCCTATAAAGTATGGGAGCTTGAAAAACTAGCCGCCCCCTTGTGGGGAGTTCTCATTATAGGAATTATAGCATATGGGAGTATACATCGGGGGTCCTTTTTTTAAGCAAACTGCTATACGTAGATGGGGATTTCCTGGCAGGAAGAGTTGGCCGCTGTCCTGACCTACCAGGAGCCATCAAGGGTCCTCGGTGAGAGCCATGCTCCGGGATACCAGGGCTACATAGGAATAACCAGGTAATATCCTATAGTCCCCTGTAGTTAGAAATTATGTAAACTATGTGAGGTCTGAGCGTGCAGGGTCATACCGATCCTTCCACTGGCATGGGGTACTGGTGGGTATGCTCTTTTTGAAGGCTTCCACAGGGGTCCCTGATTTTCAGGCATCCCTCTGAGGAAGAGGAGACCTGCATGTAGAGATTATAGCCCTCCAGAGGTAGATATAATGTGGGCTATATGGGGTCGTATTATAGTATACCCAAAGCCATATTCTATCTACTTAAGGGGGACTATAACCCTAAACCCTAAACAGAAGTTTCCGTTTTCTTTTCCATTGTCCCTATATAATCCCAATATCACCCCTTTAAAGGGACCTCCGATATTCTACTTAGGGGGGGGACTATTAAGTTCTACTTAAGACTTAAGGGGGACTGTAACCCTAAACCCTAAAACCCTAAACCCTAAATACCCTAAACCTAAATTCTATCCATTTAAGGGGGACTCTACGAGGAGAGCCTGGCCAAGCAGTGCTACGACGGCGGTCTGTCCTACGAGGAGCGAGCCGCCAAGCGCCAGGACTGCTGAATCAGAACCTGAGAGATTCCCAAAATTCGGTTTTAGGGTTATAGTCCCCCCTTAAGTAGATAGAATTTAGGGTCTTCCCAGAGTATGGGTGTTTAGGGATGAGGGTTTAGGGGTGTAGGGATTGGGGTTCCCAAAATTATGGGTTCTATAGGGATAAGGGAAATCCAAATGGAATCTACTGTTTAGGGATTAGGGTTTAGGGTCCCAATAATAAGGATTATAGTATATTGGAGTCTATATTGAGGTCCCCTTATTTAGGGAAACTACCACCTTTTCATTGCTAGTGAGGAATCGAGCAGCAAATGGAACTACTAGACTATTTAGGGTTCCCAGGCTTAGGGTCTAAGTATCAAGTTGGGGATGATAGGTGCATTGCTGAATCAGAGCCTTTTCACGCTTAGTTGGGAACAGGGGATGTAGAAGAAATTCGGAACTACTAGAATCTACTAGACTAATTCAGGGTTTGGGGCTTCGGGCTAAAGTTTCGAGGGCTGGTATAGTTGGAAATTGAGCAATCAAATGGGGATTGCAATGGCAGATTTTGCAGGGACCAGAAAAGGAATCCCTTCCCCAATGAGTAGGAGAGGGGAAGCTTGACCATGGTAGGCTATCGGAAGGTACCCAAAGGTATATGGCGCGCTGTTAAAATTGCGCCCCTTTTGAGGGGTCTAGGTTGTGAGATGACTGTAAAGATCACGGTCATAAAGTCCCCGTCCAATTTTTGATTACTGCGCATCTAGTGCTTTGGGCTGGGGACCCCCCATGCAGCTTGCAACTTATCCATTTGCCCGCATGCATTCTAGCCCTCGGTGCGACCCATGATCCTGATCATTCAATCTGCCCTATCTGCAAGATGTTTATATAACCCTTATATAATCCACTATATAACACCAATATATCCCCTATATAATCCCTATATAACCCTCATATTTCCAACAGGAAGAGATCGATGGCCTGAAGGAGGCCCTCGTGTCGCTGGGTGGCACGGCCACTTGGACGCAGTGGGTAAGTTTCCTCTCACGCTTAACATGGGGTATCCCAAAATTGTGGTGTTTAGGGATTGGGGTTTAGGGCTAAGGGGTTTAGGGATTAGGCTTCCAAAAATTATGGGTCATATAGGGATGACGGAAAACGAAATGGAAACTACTGTTTAGGGTTTAGGGATTAGGGTTCAGGGTTCTCAAAATTAGGGGTACCTTTTTGGGGGTCCCCTTTGTAAGGATGATGATATTTGGGGGTCTATATAGGTGTCCCCTCTTTGGGGGAACTACCACATCTATGGACCGTTCCGCAACTTGCAAAGTCTCGGGTCACTTCTTCAGTTTCCTTCTAGAGGAAATTAGGATATCCGTGCAACGAAGCCCTATGGACCTGCTTCCAGCAAGCTGACGGTTTCTGAGATAGGTGCCACAGAGCCTCAAGTCAAAATCTCTGTGGGCGCCCAAGGACCTGACTGCCGTTCTCCTGCAGAACAAGGCTGGAAATGCGTAGTTCCCAAAATTAGGGTCCCATTTTGGTACCCCTAAATAATGGATGCCGTAATAGAATCTGTAGCCAAAAGGGGCCCCATAATTTTGAAAACAACCCACATGGTTGTTGAAGCGACCCTGCCCTTTAGCTTGAGACATCTTTGTTGGTAGGACCCATGAAGGGAGGGAAGAGAGTACCAACTCTGACAGCATGAAGCCTCCTGGCAGGGCCTGCGTGGCTCCGTGAAGCACTGAGCATTTAGGGGTTTCCCAAAATTAGGAGTACCTTTTTGGGGTCCCAAGAATAAGGACTATAGTATTTTGGGGTCTATATTGGGGTCCCCCTAGTTTGGGAAACTACCATTTGATGTGGCTAAAGCCACCTGAGAAGTCCACGAAGGAAGCAAAAAGAGCCCGAGAAGCTGTAGGTGTGAAAGGGCAACGGCTACGAATGCGAGTGCGGATGGCAAATCTCTACTACAGCATCATCAACAGCTGCTGCTGATGGTATTGACCAGCTAGTTTTGGGGTGCCAGTGCCAGCACAAGGAGTAGGGGGAGCAGTAGAAGTACCCAGTAGCTTTGATTGATGTCTTCTTCCTGGCAGTGCTGGAGCCGAAGCAAGCCAACGGTCATGGCGTTGCCATTTTTTGTTTCAAGATGACTCGGTTGCTACATGAACAGGGAACATGGCCGACCCAATGTAGATGTAAAGTAGAAGTTGTGGGCATGGCAAAGGCAGACATAAACAGCACTCTAGTCACTCTATGGCAGCAAAAAACCAAGTGCGCCAGATGCAGCGGCTACAGCAACACACTTTTCAGAGTTTGCTGCTGTGAGCCGAATCCAGCTCGTAATCTGACTCGTCAAGTGCTTGGGCGAGAGGGCAAGGGACCCTGCAAGCAGCGCCGCGAATGAGAACCAGCATGGAAGACCCAGCGTCAACATCACCAGCAACAACAACGCAACACGCAACCCTAACAGATCTCGTGACTATGTGATACCAAGTCCTACTGAAGCTTGTTCGGACCATGCCAAGCGTCTGGCAACAGTGAACTGAAGCGTTTGGATTATGGCGCACCGGAGCCGCCATGCCTTCAAGGCGCAGAGCAGCCCCCTTTTCTCGTTATGTGGCTGTTTAAGTAGTAGTTTCCCAAAATAGGAGGACCCCAATATAGACCCAAAAATGACACCCAAAATACGGGCCATGATTTCGTTTTAGAGGTCTGGCCAAGGCCTAAACCAAACCCCCTCAACCCCCTAAAGCCTAAACCATTGGCTCTCCTCGTCCCCTGGTCCCTTAGACCTCCTGGTCTTCTCATCCCTCGGTCCTGCTCTTCTGTTTTTGCCAGGTATTATTAAGGGTTATAGTCCCCCTTAAGTAGATAGAATATGGCTTTGAGTATATTATAGTAAGATCCCCATATATTAGGGATTTATAGGGGTTATATAGGGATAATGGAAAATAAAATGGAATCTGCTATATTATAGGGTTACATTAGGGAGATACAGGGGTTATATAGGGATAGTGGAAATAACATGGAAACTATTTTATTTCAGGATAGTTTTTTTACAATGCAACACTGTCATTTCATTTTGAAAGCTTTGGGGTTTAGGGTTTAGGGTTTAGGGTTCATTTCGGGTCGATGACCTTGTCTTTTTGAAGGGTAGAAGTTAGAAGGGCCCCCACCCTGTAATAGTGTCGCTGTTACAGGGTGAGGGGGTCCACCTAAGGTAGAAGCCAAACCCCTAAACTTAAACTCTACCTGGGGATTGTCCTAAAATTACTGTCAATACGGGGTCCTATATTTAGGTTCCTATTATAATACGGGGCCCTATATCAGTTTCCCCATTTTGGGAACAGTAATTTAGGGAAACTTCCACCTCCCATTGAAACTGCTGACGCCTTCCGCAGATCCTTTGCCCGGAGCCGCTGGCCTCGGGGGTACCTGGCCCAGAACCAACTTTTAATAGTAGTACGACCAGTGAGAATATGAGCTATTTAGGGTTTATATGGGGTTATAAGGGGATAATGGAAGCTATAGTCTATTTAAATTCCTGAAAGGGGGTCATAGGGGGGATTATACAGGAGACTGCTATAGGGCTTATTCAGGGGGATAGTAGGAGTTTAGACTATGGCTCATATTAAGAATGATGTAGAAGCACCATTATCCCTTATAGTTGCTGTTACTGGGTGTGGTTCCACATAAGATGTGGAGTGTAAGGAGTAGGGTTGAGGGTGCAGGGTTAAGGATTTATGAACTTATTGTGGGGTGTAGGTAGTAGGGTAGTGTTTAGGGTGAAGGGTCGAGGCAGTTTAAGGTGTAAGGATGTGTAAGGTTTAAGCTGTATAGGGTGAAGATCGTAGGGTGTAAGATGTGGCTTTACTCTGTGTACTTGCTTCCACGCACTACCATCACTACTGTCTCGTTCTGAAATGTTCTTGGAGGTATACCTTAATTGCCATTACCTTATTGGGGGCCTTTTATTGGGCGTAGGCAATGCCTGAGCTACAAGATCCATGCGTATTTCTGAGTGTAGTAGCAAGATGTGTGCTAGCCACCGGTAGTAGCAGAGAATAGTGGTAGTTGTGAGAAAATGGTCTCCCTCTGTCTTTCTGTGTACACCCCGCACGTCGACCCTGAGTACGGGAATTCTGCGCGAAGGGCTTCTGACCTCGGGAAATCCTCATGTAGGACTCACGGCCGGGCTGATTTTCGTCTATGGGGGTTAGCTGGTTCGTGTTGTAGGGTAGGATCTCGGACAGTTCCGGGGTTAGCTGCCAACATGAGCCCGAACTGAATGTACTGAAGGTGCTGGGCCATCGAGGAAGCACCAAAGACCGCATCCAGGAGCAGACGTGCATAGGATTTAGAGTTTACTGTTTTAAGTTCTTCTGGTTGAAGGTTGGCTCCCTGTCTTCCACTGCCTTATGTGAAGATGCTTCACATGTCAGATGTGTCTACCACATCACTGAAAGCACACCTCTCTTGAGGCTTTGAGGGTAGCAAGACTAGTCATGAAGTACTAAGAGTAATGATACAAGTAACGGCAATAATAAGAACTGCAATGAGAATCATGGGTAGTTCCTAAAATTAGAGTACCATTTTGGTATTCCTAAATATAAGGTGCCGCAAAAAGAGAGAGTGTGTGTCTGTATATATATATATATGCATACCTAGCATGACCTCTAATTGTGAGAGCAGCCCTAAACCCCTAAACCCTAAAAAGAAAAAACTAGTCATAGTAATAGTATGAAGCTGTGGATGTGAGGCTTTGTCTGGAAAGACTGTCTGTCCAGATCAGCAGGGTTTGCCAGTCCATGCAAGCTATCGTCTGAACTCCTGACAAGGGGTTAGGTAGGGTTTAGGGTTATATCAGGGATTACATAGGGTTTAGGGTCTAAACTCCTCACAGGGGTATATACACGGAAGTATTATGGGGGCTATTACGTGAGATACTGGGAGTCTAGACTACAGCTCATGTAATTTGTGAGACCTGTAAATGCGGACGCTCAACAAGTCATCATGTCTAGACTTAAACCAAGTATGCGGTGGCCAAAGGATAAGGGCAGACTGACAAGTGGCAAAGAAGCGGTACGACGTCAGCCCAACTACGTAGAAGTCTTGGTTTCCGCACACCATGGGCATTTGCCCTCAAATACCTCAAGCTGGGTATATTTTCGGTATCCTAAATCCTATACCCTGAACCCTAAACCCCTAAACCTTATATAACCCTATTATAGTAGTTTCCATTTTCTTTTTCCATTATCCAACCCTAATTTCTGGTCCTTAGGACCCATCCTGAAATCCCTAGCCTTATACTATACTATATTATATCATATTATACTACATAATAATACTATATTATATCTTATTACATTATATTAGATCTTACTATATTACATCATATTATTATGATGTATAATACTTTGAGTTTTCTCATTTTTGGTTGGGGTCTCCAGGATGAATGCAGCTGCCGCCTCGTCATGAGCAATCGCGTGGGCGACTCGTTGCTTTGGGTTAGCTTGGGATTTTGGGGGTTCAGGGTTTAGGGCTCAGGGTTCAGGGTTTTTGGTTTTAGGGTTCAGGGTTTTTGGTTTTAGGGTTTTTGGGTTTAGGGTTTAGGGCTTTGGGTAGAAAAGGATGAAGATGGTAGCAGATAGCAACTTTTGCTTTCAGCGGAGTATGCCCCACGCCAACACTGACTGTGGGCTCAGGTGCCACGAAGCAACAGTTGCTTGTGGAAGTTTTTGACCACAGTCCATGCCTACTCATCGCCACTATCGCAGTGTATAGGGCGGTGCAAGATTTCCTCCACCCACATAGACCCATACCTATACCCTCTGCACTAAATCATGAGGACGAGTTTTACCCCGGCACGCGCCTGCGGTTAGTGGTGATCCAAGCAGAGGAGCAGGGCTCGCGTGCCTGCCATGTTTGCTTCCGGTGCGCTGTGCCCCTCTCACACGCGCCTGAGCCGCTTTACGATTTTGTTGGGAGCTGTTTTTTTGAAACAAAGGGGAGAGCAGTTGGTGTGTTTACTTTGCATGGTTTTTTGAAGGTTTTTGAGAAGATGCAGCAAGGCAGGGCTCACATGATCTAGGGAATCTGGGGGCTCCAGGAAATGAGAGGTCCTATAATCAGGACTTTTAATGTACTAAGATGTTTGCCCACCTGTTTATGGAACCCCCCGCCGCATCTCCGAGTCATAACCTTGGGCCCAAGACCCATCTGACAGCCTCATCCATCTCCTACCTGCATCCCCGCTCAGTTTGGGACCTTATTTTGGTTTGAAGGGTTTCAGAGGGTATCTAATGGGCATGTAAGGACCCGAGGTTAAGGGCCCATGGCTTGAAGCTTGGAATCCTATACCCAGCATGGACGCAGTGCTGGTCACCGTCTTCTCTTTGGGCGCTTGCTGTGGCGTTGCATGTGTCCCTTTTTAAGTTAGTACAGTCCTTGCCCAAATCCCTAAACCCTAACCTTGCCCAAGTGTGCCTCCTGCCGGCCCTCCTTGCCCATGGCCAGCAATGGCCAGCCAAGCCATGCATACACAGCTTTGGTCCGGGTCCTTACTGTCATAATCGATGAGGGGCTAGTGTGGACTACGGGAAAGCCTACTCCTGAAAACGTTTCTCAACCTCTGTTTCCATTTCCCTGCACTGCCACTGGCTCGCAGACTTACGACCACGAGATTCTGCAGACAGTTTTTTCTTCTAAAGGCGGTACTGTAAGGCACCCTCAGTGCTATGCA